GGGATGATCGTCCCCCTGGTGGCCTCCGAACTTGAACGTGATGGCAGTTGTGTATATTTTCATTGTCCCCCTGGTCTGTCTGTCAGTCGGTCAGTATGTCTGTATGTCTGTCTGTCTGTCTGACTGTCTGACTGTCTGTCTGTCTGTTTACAGGGTCCTGTCTGTCTGTAATTCTGTTTGTCTGTCTGTCAGTCTGTCTGTGTTCCTGTCTGTCTGTCTGTCTGTCTGTTTGTCTGTCTGTCAGTCTGTCTGTTCATGTGTCTGTCAGTTAGTCTGTCTGTCTTTCAGTGTGTCAATCAGTCTGTCTGTCAGTCTGTCTGTGTGTCTATCAGTGTGTCAATCAGTTTGTCTGTCGGTCTGTCTCTCTGTAGGTTTGTCTGGATGTGTGTCCCTGTGTTAGACTGTCGGTCTTTCTGTCTGTTGAACAGACAGTCTATCTGTCTGTTTGTATGGATGACGTGCTCCTACACATGGCTCTCGAAATGGACCTGTCCAGCAGGTGGTGACAGTCTCTACCGACAGGTAATCACCAAGGTCGATTGAGCTCATGAAGTAGCGGTGAGTATTCATAATTTTGCGAATCTCATCACACACCTCTCGCCTGCCATACCCTCGTACTCCAGTTGTTGCCCCTATCTTATGTGTTGACACACACACAATCACACACACAATCACACACACACACACACACACACACACACACACACACGTTGTTGAACGCCGCCCTGAAGTTGGCTACTGCGTGCCAGAATCTGCCAAACGATAACCTTTGCAACAGTGAATGGCCCGCAGTAGCCAACCTCGGCACAGAGGCCGAGACACAAATGCACACACACACACACACACACACACACACACACACGCACACACACACACACACACACACACACACGCACACACACACACAGACATGTCGATGACGTTTTTGTGCGTTTCCGCTGGCAGAGAGAAGAGGTCGAAAGACAAAGCTTGTGCATCATGTCGATGTCGGTAGCACAGGTGGCGAAGGCTCTCACAGAGGTGATGAAGTATGCAGAGGAGGGCTTCCACTACAACAGCCGTGGCGAGTTGTCTTTGTTGGAGGAGAGGGTGTCGGGGTACTTCGCTGTTAGCGTGGATATGAGATCCACGATCATGGCCAACGGCAGTGGTTGTGTGCAGGCACGAACACTCTTGGAACGATTGAGAGAGTCACCTGATGTTCGTGTGGACAGCGACGCGGAAGACAGCCCATACAGTCTAAAAGGAGTTGTGCAGTGGATGTGCAGCGAAGGCATGTGCGACGAATGACTTGTCGACATGACAATGAAGCAGAAAGGGGGGACCTATACACCTGTGGCTTTCAGGAAGTTTATGGTGAGTGTGGCGAAGGGATGGGACATGCTTGTTGAAGGGGCGAACGACGAGTTGAAGAGGGGTGCTGCAAAAATACTAGTGCTGTCCAGAATCAAGGACATGACACAAACACCGCCCCAGGACTTTCAAGAGTTTCCCGTGATTGTTGCAGACGGTGTGGAATACATTCTGCTTGATCAGCTATGTGACCTCATGAACAAGACAGAGGACGACAGGAACGTCATT